ACGAGCTCGACATATATATATATATATATATATATATATCGAGAGATGGGAACGTTCGAAACCTTTAGAAGGCATGTCGTAATAATTAGAAAGGAGATGCTGACGGGGGGCGGGGTAGATGGAACAAGCGCTCGCGGCGCGGGGCCTGGGGCTGCAGACGAGCTCCACGAAGCTGCATTGCCGAATGCGCACCGCGCGTCGCTCTCGACGTTCCAGTCGTCGCGGGTCGGGATCTGCTGCGCTTGCATCAGCAGCCGCGCGCGCGGTGGAACGGGCGGCCCGTTCGCGAACACATATTTCCATGCAGCATCGTGCGCAGCTTTCACGTTATCAGACCTCCCCACGATGTGCAATTGTTTCCCAGATCCCCGCCGGCGGTCTCGAACGTGCGCGCGACAGGAGGTCTGCGCGTATATCGCGCGGGCCTGCTCTGGCGTGACGGTCCCTAAAGGGAGTGGCTCTTTGACGCATGCAATCGGGCCGCTGATCTCGGGCCCGTACTCCATCCCGCCCCGCCCGCCCAGACGAGGAGGGGCGGCCGCGCGAGACTGGCAGCGCGGCAGGACTGAGCCTACGGCCGAGCAGACCGACATCCCTGACAAGAGGGGGCAAGTGCGGCCACGTGCCGACGTGGTTCGAAATACACGGGGTGACACAATGCATATATAATAGCGCGCGGCGCGCGCGGCAGGGCGAAGCCCCTGCGCGCTCACTTGCCCGACCCGCGTGGCCCCGAGGGGAACTTGCACACGCGCTACATATATATATATATATGTATATATATGCCCCTCTCTCTATCTATCTCTCTCTCCCTGCCTGGCACTCGTTATTCTCTCTCTCTCTCTCTCTCTCTCTCTCTCTCTCTCTCTCTCTCTCTCTCTCTCTCTCTCTCTATATATATATATATATCTCATAGATCCCCCTGTCATCGGCACCATCACTATTGCCGTCGCACCAAAGCATTCCCCCCCGCCCTCCCCCCACCCATCCCCTCAGAGGCCGCGACTACATGGGCGGCTGAGCGCGCTGGCACGGCCCCGCGAAAAGCCAGGGGGGGGGGGCGCCAGTAGCCGAGCGGAAGAGCAAGGATCGTGTCATTGCGAGCTCTGGTGGTTGGAAGGTTCGCCCCGCCCGAGGGTGATGGGGGGGGCGGCGGGCTGGTGGGGGGGGGTCTATCATCCCGTCGTCGTCGTCGCCGTCGCCGTCGCCGCCCTTCCCCCCAACCCTCCCCCGCCCAACTCGCCTGCCCCCCCCCCCCCCCCCCCCCCTCGCCCACCCGTCCCCGGCCCCCCTCCCCCTCCCCGCGCCCCGCCTACACGCACTCGTTCCTTGCTCTTCCGATCGCGCCTCGGGCGCCGACGTCGCCGAGGAATCGACCGCGCAATGGGGCGCGCGTGCTCGCCTACCCTCGCGGCGATGTGGGTGTCCACAATGTCGTCTAAGCACGGCGGGTTCATTCCTCTCGCCCGCCGACGCAGCTTCGCCTCGCCCGCGCGCACGACGCGAAACCGAACGCGATTTCTAGGCGCGGGGTCTCTTGTTCACCTCGATCTCTTTCCCTGCTTGTTGCGGAGACAATCGTTTGTTTCGCTCCGCCTGGCCCCTCCTTCCCCGCCCCCCTCCCAGCGCTCGAGGGCGGCCCAACAGGGCCCCAACAACTGCCCTGGAGGTTCCAGAGTCCGCCCAAGAGGGCCCCAAGAAATCCCAACGGGACAAGAGAGGGCCAAGGGAGTCCGCTGGGCCGTCTTTGGACGGGCTTGGGGCGCCTTGCGGCCGTTTTGAGGCGGTCTCTGGCTCAGGGCGCCGTGGAGCCGTGGAGCAAAGCGCAGAGGGCGCGATTTTGTGCGGGCGCGCGCGGCAGGGGGGCGTCGCTCCCAGAGAGCAGCAGACACATTTCCCGAACGCCAGCAAGCGCTCTCACATGACCCCAACGTGCCTGCGACAGGGTGGCGGAGTTTCATTGCTGGCGTTCGAATGTTCAGAAAGGGTATTGGTCGGCGCCTCAGTATGTGTGCCGTTCGCGCCAAGGCGCGTCAGGCTGCAATGCTTGCTTGCAGGTGACGTCCGTCAGCGGTCAGCCCAGTGAATTCGATGTATTTCTTTACTTTCAAGAGCTGGTCGCTCCACCTTGCGCGCACATCCTTGGGCAATTGACCAGATAAGTGCGCGCGAGGCGGTTGTGTCTCTGGCGCGAGACCCCGCCAGTGCAGCTTCTTTCTGTTCACCGCAGAGGCGATCGTTTGATTCATTCCGCCTTGCGTGCACACCCGTGGGCAATCGACCAGATACGTGCGCGCCAGGCTGATGCGTCTCTGTCGGGAAATCTCAATGTCATGTCCTGTTGTTCACTCTTCTCACTCCAGGGGCAGGTAGAAGTTTCGCTATGCTTTGTGTGCGCACCCTTGGATTATCTACCAGGCGAGTATGCGCCAAGCGAGCGTGTCTACCATGGCCGACACGGAAAGGCTCCCTGGCCAGTGGTGGGAGGGGGAACCTGAAAAGGTTTCTTGGCCCGTTTGTTGTGCTGGAGAGGGAACCTGAAAAGGCTTCTTGGCCAGTGGCGGGAGGGGGAACCTGAGAAAGGTTTCCTGGCCCGTCTGTTGTGCTGGAGAGGGAACCTGAAAAGGCTCCCTGGCCAGTGGCGGGAGGGGGAACCTGAAAAGGCTTCCTTGCCCGTCTGATGTGCTGGAAAGGGAACCTGAAAAAAGGCTCCCTGGCCAGTGGCGGGAGGGGGAACCTGGGAGAGGTTCCCCTTCCCGTTTGATTTGCTGGAAAGGGAACCTGAAAAAGGCCCCCTGGCAAGTGGCGGGAGAGGAAACCTAAAAATGCTTCCTGGCCCGTTTGATGTGCTGGAGAGGGAACCTGAAAAGGCTCCTTGGCCAGTGGCGGGAGGGGGAACCTGAAAAAGGTTTCCTTGCCCGTTTGATGTGCTGGAGAGGGAACCTGAAAAGGCTCCCTGGCCAGGGTTCCCACCTCTGCGCCCGAAAACACTGCCGTTCGTCTGCGCGTGGTTTACTGCCGGAACCAGAGCCTGAACCAGAGCTAGAAACAGACCCATAACCAGAAACTGAACCAGAGACAGAACAAGAACCATAGCCAGAATCAGCATCAGAGCCAGAACCGGAGCCAGAACCTCAGCCAGATACAGAACCATAACCAGAACCACAACCAAAGCCATTACCATAACCAGAGCCAGAACCAGAGCCAGAACTTGAACCAGAGCCAGAGCCAGAGCCAGAACAATAACTAGAACCAAGGCCACATGTGGAGCAGTCCAGCACAGTTCCAATTCGACATAAGATCCTCCTCCTCCTCCCTCCTCCCCGTAGCCGCCCTGGCCCAAACTTCCCTTGAGCGGCGGGTTCCGCCGTGGTCTTTGCCGCGATGAAGCGGCCCGCTGGCGCGATGAAGCGGCCCGCTGGGGCCACCGTCCCAACCAAGAGAACGATGTTGAAACGCTCAGACAAAGCGTTTCGCCCTTTCCCAGTGCCTCAGCGCGGCAAGGGCATCATGGGCCGTGACCAGAGTGCCATGAAGCAGAAGAAGAAGAACAGCATGAAGGCCTCCGTGAAATATGCCCGCAGCGGCACGCTGCCCACGAATACCCGAAAAGAACGTGAGCAATGGCGTCGCTCCCTCGCCAGCTTCGAGGGGAAGTCTGAGGAGGACATGGTGTCGATGCTGATCGAGGACATCATCTTGATTGATTGGTCGGGCCGCATCTGTCCGCACTGCGGGCAGGGCAAGCTCGGCAATCGGCGTGTCCAGGCGGACGGGGCGGTGAAGTGGCGATGCAACAGCGGTCGGCGGTGCGGGAAGCAGGTGGGCGCGTGCTACGGGCACCCCGTGTTCAGCGACGGCAATGGGCAGAGCAAGATGTCGCTGCTGAACAAGGTCAAGATGTTGTTCTGCCTGTTGATCGGAGTGACCACCGCGCAGATCCACCTCCTGCTCAACGTCAATCACGAGGCTTTCGAACGCATGTCCAAGTACCTGGATGCAGCCCGCTAGCGGTTCGTCGAGAAGAAGGAGAAGGAGATCGTGTTGGGGGGCGACGAGGAGTGGGTGGGCGTCGAAGCGGACGAGACGGTTTTCCGCGCGGCGCTATCAGCTGACCGGAAAACGAAGGAATGGGAGCAGTGGGCTGGCTGCGTTGAGCGCGGGCGCCCACAGAGCTTGGTACTGTGGCGCACCAACGACGACGCCGTCCCGAAGGCGCCAGGCCCTGGATCAACCGCCAAGTCAGACTGGAAGCCGTTCTTGCTCAGCCGCCTGCAGCACCAGAAGGTCATCCTCCACACCGACGGCGCCAGGAGCTACAAGATTCGGGCAGATGGGGTCCTACATGACTGGGTCGCGCACGCGCGGAAGCGCAATGCAATCTGCGGCAAGTTGGTGTGGCTCAAGCCCGCGTTCACCAAGCTGGTGCGTCGCAAACTGCCTGAGGGCGGCTCCATCCTTGTGAAGGGCGGCGCGCAGATTGTGGACAGGGCCTGGCAGTTCTTGAAGGAGCACATCGGCAGCCGCGCTCTGAAGCCCAAGAGCAGGGCACTGGCCAGCAGGATTCGCTCGGGACAGTGGGAGTACTGGAACAAGGGCAACGACCTCTGGGTGGCCACGGGTGACATGATCTACGAGTAGATGAGCGGCGTGTACTGGGGGTGGGAGTGCCATTGCTTTCACTGAGGGTGGGGTTTAACTCTGGGGTGCTTTCTGCGTTGCGGTGAGCTGGGCCAGCATGGCGAGAGTGCCCAAGCGAAATGTGCGCAGTTACGCATATAGCTTTCGACTTGTTCCATGACGTCAATGCTAGCGAAGAAACAATTGTATTCACCAGTGCCGTCGCCAGTCTTGCCACCTCGCAGCAACGGCAACGTCCTTGCCGACATCCCTCTGTCCGTAGCTGTTTGGGCTCAATTCGCAGGGTTCAGTAGTTCGCGCTTGCTGTCCCCAGCTGCCAATCTTTAACTTCAAGCTTCCGTTTGCACCCGCTGTCTGCCATGGCGAGCTTGACGGCTGGCGGCATCAAGTCAATGGGAGAGATCGTCGGCGGCGACGCCTCCGCAACTGATCAAATCAAAAACACGTGGCTGCACATGGCGGCGGTGCAGTCCTACAAGACGCTCGACAAGCCCGAGCGTTTCCAATCAGACCCTCCCGCTGCTTTCGTCCTCCGCGACATGCCGCTCCAGCGCGCGGACAACGTCGTGAATGTGAAGCATTTAGTGGATTGGGTGACGTTGGAGGATGGCGCCGCGGAGCAATTGGACACAGTCGACGTGTTTGACGCCATGTGCAGGGGGCAACTACATGGCGTTGCCAGCCCCGTTTAAGCCCAACAAGGATCCTGGCGAGATCGCCTTCACCATGCAGCTGTGCATCTTGCCGAAGGACGCGAACGGCGAGCAGTACGCGCTGAAGTACGTCAGGTTCGACAACAGGGCTCGGGCCGACATTGCCAAGGATATCTTCGTTGCAGGCAGGGCGCTCACCATCCACTGGGGGAGTTCGGCCGACACTAAGACGCCACTCAAGCTCTTTCACTACATGATGGACAGGCTGGGCGGGGTGCAGATCCGCCATTGGGTTCAGCCGTCCGTGCCCGCCGCCGCCGGCGGTGGCGGTTACGACAGGGAGAAGCGCAGGGCGGGCTATCGTTTCATAGAGGAGTTCGGCCCGAGGGCAAACAACCGCAACCAGTTCGCGCGGTGGACCGACGAACAGATCAACGACGAGAAGTCGCCGATGTTTGGCTGGCAGGCATCGGCAGTCAAGGAGTCGTTCCGCAACTACGCGTCGGGCCCTGCTGGCGCGAGGACGCTCGAGCGCTGGGCTATCGCGCTCAAGCGCTTCCACCCGTTCGTGTTCGACAACGTCGTCGCCCCCATTCTCAAGAGTCACGACGTGCACCGGACCATGTGGATCGGCAAGACCAGGGTCGGCAAGTCCACGGCGTCGAAAACCATCGGCTTCGCAATCTCCGCCTGCCAGATTGATAAGAATAACCGCACCGACCTCCGTCCGAGCGTCGTCGCGACGAAGAAAATCGACTTCTTGCGGCTCGAGCCTGGAACTGCGTACAAGCCCGCTATCGCGGACGACGCCGTCCTCACGAAGTGGGCCCCCGATGAGATCAAGGCCTTCCTGGACCCCGCCGAGGAGGACGCGCTGCTGTGGGCAAGGCCGCAGGGCGCGGATGACGCGCGCCGTCGAAAAGTACCAGCAATCAAACGCCCAAGCGGCGACAAGCCATGTTTTACATGTCGGTTTTGGTGTGCGTCGTTTCCGCGCGCAGCATAGGTGGGGCGGCGCCTCCTTCGAGCAGAACCAGCCCCGCCAGATCTGTGTCAACCCCTACGACCAGGAGTTCGAGAAAAAGGTGCGTTCCATCCGCAGAGGCCAACAAGTGATCAAATTCGACGACTTCCTCAAAATCATAGATCGCAACTTCGCTGGCGAGAAGCAGTGCGGCTACCAGATGGCGGACGCGGAGGCGTACGTGGCGAGGTCCAACATCGTGCTCCTCACTGACGACTGGATGTACCTGTGGCTGGCGTCTACGACTAAGGATCCAGTCCCCCGCTTCTCGTGGCCAGTGCCCGAGAAGCCAGACCTCTTCACGCCCGGGGCCACCCCTATCCTGAAGCGTTCCAGACCTTCGCGCCGCCCGACTACGCCGTGCACATGAAGTGGGCCGTGGCCGCCATGAAGAAGCTTGCTCGCGGCGAGGACATCGGGCGCTCGAGGGCGATTCGCGGCCCCACGCTCTTCGACCAGGACGCGCCCCCGAGGTGTGAGTTTGCTGCAATGGACGGTGAAATGAACGTCGGCGCCGACGCATCCACCGCCGCCAGCGCGGCCGCGCCCCCTGCGCCCGCCATCCCAGGCAACCCAGGTGACGACGGCGCCGACTCTGGTCTCGGCGGCGAGATGAGAGGCGCCGCCGCAGCAGAGGACGAGGACGACGTCTTCGGCTTCGGCGGCGGGATGGATGGCGACGGCGGCCCCCCCCGCGGCCGTCGCGGCCGCGCCCCCCTCGCCCGCGGTGGCGATCAAGGGGGGGCCAGGGGTGCTCCGCCAGCGCCTCCAGAAGTCCAAGGATTGCTGCGTCATTCATTTGGACACGCCGACGCCGCAGAAGAAGCGCACGGACATCGAGGAGGACCTCTCGCAGATGCTAGAGGGCAACGGGGTGACGGGCGCCGCGGCAGCGAGTTCGGGCGCTGGCGCGCCTGCGTGAGGGCGCTTGCGATGGCTGGCGCTCTGAGGGGTGTGATGTATAAACGGCGTTTGCGATTGCGGCTGGAGGCCGCTGTGAGGGGTGCCATTTTGCAACGGGCGGGGCAGCAAGCGGCCAATGCTGCCTCGTTGGGGTCACCTGACTTGCGCGCGCACGACGTCTCCCGATGAACAAATAAGGGATCGCGCGGCTTGTGTTTTCCAAGTTTTCCAGGTCTTCCCAGGCACTGACCGTTGAACAACCATGTGTTTTCCAGATATTCCAGATCTCCCCAGAAACCACCCAGGTGAACAAAAAACAATGTGTTTCCAGATTTTCTAGATATTCCAGATCTTCCCAGAGACTACCCAGGTGAAAAACATTGCGTTTTCTTGATTTTCCAGATATTCCAGATCTCCACAGAGCCTACCCAGGTGAAAAACGTCGTGTTTTCCAGATTTCCCAGGTATTCCAGATCTCCCCAGAGACTTCCAACTGAGTGAGCGTTTCTCCACGGTCAGTGTCTTGGGGAACTGGGAAAATCTGGAAAACCCGGAAAACACAACATTTCTCAACGGCCAGTTTCTGGGAAAATTTGGAAAGTTTGGAACACCTGGAAAACACAGCTTTTCTCAACGGTCAGTGTCTGGGACAACTGGGAAAACTTGGAAAACCTTGAAAACACAGCTTTTCTCAACGGTCAGTGTCTGGGAAAATTTGGAAAACTTGGAAAACGTGGAAAACAGCGTTTCTCAATGGTCAGTGTCTGGGAAAACATTGAAAAATTTGAAAACCTTGAAAGCACAGCGGTTCTCAACGGTCAGAGTCCCGAGAGAGCCCAGAGACAGAGAAAGGAGAGAGAGAGAGAGAGAGAGAGAGAGAGAGAGAGAGAGAGAGAGAGAGAGAGAGAGAGAGAGAGAGAGAGAGAGAGAGAAGAGAGAGAGAGAGAGAGAGAGGAGAGAGAGAAGGAAAAGCAATCGAGGATGAGGAGACGAAAAGGTATGATCTTGGGGGGGGGGCGACCATATAAACCATGTATATATATTATATATATATATATATATATATATAAATAATATATATAATATATATATATATAGATATGCTTCGACAGCTTGCTGTCTATGCGTTGCGTGGGGTAAACATACATCGTTGTTTGATAACGCATCCCCCTGCATGTTCTTGCCCATGTCTCTCTTCGCCTTCCCTTACTTACGCTACGTCATGGCTGGGACATGGGTGACAGCTAACCATCCCATGTTCGTGTTGGTCTCTCGGGGGGGGTCCGTAAGGGGCTCCGAAAGCATGTGGAACCTTCTTGCGGCCTTCGCCGGGCCTCTTTGGAGGTATGCTAGAGGCTGTGCTGAGCCATCATCGGCTATATTGAGCCATCTGGGGCGCCATTTCGAAGCATCGGAGGCCCTCCTGAGGCCATCTTGGAGTTTTGTTTGTGGGATATTCAGATCATCTTGGGACTTTCTCGAAGGGTCTTGCGGGGCCCTTTTGGAGCCCTCGCGGGGGCCCCCTTGACCGACCATCACAAGATGCATGTTTGCGGCCTTGCTCGCCGAGGCCATGCTGGGCGTTCCAGCGCCCCGCGAACCCCCCCCCCCCCCCAACACACGCGCGCGCGCACGCGCACACGCGCGCGCACACGCGCACGCGCGCACGCACGCACGCGCGCGCGCACGCACGCGCGCACGCACGCACGCGCGCACGCACGCACGCACGCGCGCACGCGCGCACGCACGCACGCACGCGCGCACGCACGCACGCACGCGCGCGCGCACGCACGCACGCACGCGCGCGCACGCGCGCACGCACGCACGCACGC